TACGTACATTCCACATTTGTAATGTTTTATGGGTTTGTGTACTCTTAACTTGTTTTTGTCTTAATATGAACATTATTAGCTTTATGTTGATAAAAACCGACATGAGCGTTCAAATTTTTCTCCTATTTCCTGCACATTCTTTTTATACCCAGAACATTTGAAATATTTAAATGAATGGACATGTAATTAAATGGGCGGTTTTCGAAGGTACATTTCTTGTACTTACAAGACTACGTTGCAAGAAGTTATTAGAACGGAGTATATTAAGAACGCAAGTTTTTGTAACATTATTCATGATTAGTTGGGTATTACGTAAAGCAATGATTACAATTATTTAAAGTTTGAAATCATTCTCTATTTTTGACATGTAAACAGCAGTTTACTGATAAGATTGTTATCAGCTACATTTTTTTTTTTTAATAATTCTATGACCTGGTAACTAATGCTTTTCGGTCAAGTTTTATTTTAATTTATATTCTTATTTTTATGAAAAATGATAATATGGAGTGAAATGAAATGAAGATGATTAATTTGAGACATTAATCAACTGACATGAAATAAAATGAAATGAGATGAGATTATATGGGATGAAATACAATCTCAGTAAAATGGTTGTTAATTACTGAGACTTTTCAGTGGGATTTTTGGAGGATCCAGAGAAGCTATGCCCAGCGGCTTTGTTTCATTTACCCACATTTGTGCACTTTTACAGATATTAAACAGTTAACAAACCACTGTTATTACACATTTAAACCTGAAGAAACACTAAATAGACAAAATAAAACAAATCACACAGCTTTACTTCTCGCGTTCAAAAAGTCCTTACTTTTCTTGATTAATATAAATAAACGACTGATGACTATTGGTGACTTGAGTTTTTAGCGTAAAGCAAAACCTTGGTCTTAGAAAATACACCAAGGAACAGCCGCGTCTCTGCAATATTAAGAATTACTTTCTAGTTACAAATATTTTAGATTGAGGGTATCTATCATAGGGTGTTTCTCAAAGAGTCATACATAAAACAGTATTAATGCACCTGAAATCAAGAACATACTTCTGTGTTACGGATACCGGATATACTTTTTCTTCTTCTTCGTCGCTTTCTTCATTGCTGAAGGTCGGGTCATATATATATATATATAATAACCGGTTATATCAAGGATATAACCAGTTATAATATCAGCCAATCCTAACAGAGCCTAACCAAGCTTTTCGTGATCTAATTGAATAAGCTGATTTTTAGCATTATAATGTCTATTAAAAGTATTACATATTCAGAAAGTATTATTTATATAGTTACCATGGATGCTGGAAACGATCATACAAGAACCGATTGCCATACTAAAAAAATGAAGATGCTATGAAGTGTCATTATCAATGACAGGTGTCATTATCAATGACAGTTAAACTTAAAATCATAAGCCGGAATAAGCCTGTCATCTAGGTTAAACTCAGTAAAAATACAAGTTGGCACAAATTACTCCAAATAAAATACGGCAAAATGGGTATGTAAATAATCAGCAATATAGTTTGCTTATAATTTACGTTCTTAGGAATTGAAAGTTTAACATCTTATTTTATTTTCAGCGGTAAACAGTGCCACGTCCTTCGTACTGTCGTCAATATTAACCCTTTTGATATTTTCTGGAATGCAAATGTATAAACCACAGCTTATACTGTCTCCTATGACTATAATATTCGGAGGCTATCTTGGATCATTAATGTTTATGTTCTTTGTAACTGTATCCTTTAAGATAGTAATTATTCTTCGGAACCTTAATAGTTTCACAAGTTTAAATAGTAAGTAGGCAAATTTACTGTTGCGGCTGTTTTTTATAGATGCTAATGACTGAATTGTGAGTTCAGAACTTGCCTCTTTATTTCATTTGCTGCACTACTACCATGGGATCTGCGTTGCTCTCGGGATAAGTGTCACTCCATTCATGTCAAACATTTAAATTGTTACTTTGTGCTTATGTCAACAAGTTCAAATTTCATCTGATGTGTTATCAATGCCCAAAGACACCAAATTATTAATGCTGCTGCTCATATACTACACTGATATACTGAAGTCTCAGTTACATTAAAAAAACCCATGGAATGACATGATTGTGATTCACCAGATGCAGACAGAACACTGTTATCTACCGTCATGTGCACATTAATATTTTATTAATTTATTATAGCACAATGTTGAGGTATAAATATATGTTGAGGTATAAATTAGGTTCTCAACTGAATGACAGTGATGGAAATTTAATCTAGTGGTTGTTGATCAGTTGGTGCAGCAAATTAAGAATACAAAAATCCTTAGTTGTTCCAGAAGTTAGACATCAAGCATCTGTTCCAACACCTTTGAAAAGAAGAATTTTCTTGTTAGTGTAATTTAGTCACAGACTTGTCATGATTAGTTTGAGGAATATGTCACTGTTTTCTGGGGTAGTAAATTTTGATGTTCTTCAATGAAGACTAAATCTTTTTTTTTTTTTCCTACCTACGCTGAGTCTTCAGAGGCTATTCCAGTGTAACCTTAACTAGTGGGTGAGCACACGGGGCTCAGACCTGACGACGTTGCTAACACGAATCCTAGCAAGAGCCATGCTTCGTAGAATCTACCACCGGATCGGAAACGCGACCCACTGAGAAGATCCGGCGAGAAACTCAGTGGGCTGTGTCTGAGGGTTAATTTACTCGTCAAGCTCTTCGTCGCAAGCGACGGGTTCGACGAGAACGGTGACCGGTGCTTGAAGTACCTAAAAGCACCGTTAGTGGATCGGGAGGATCCGAAATGACGTGTTTTGGGCGACGTCGACTGCTTTCCATTCTTTCCGCAGGATCATGAATGTAGTTACCGGCGGCCACGATGAGAGGGTTCTCGTGTCGTGCCGCTTTATCGAAGTGGCGCATCGACGCCGACCGTAAATGCTTATTGATGGACTCTAAGTCCAGGTCGTCATGGAGGTCGACGTTCCTGACGAACCACGGGGCTCCGACGGCTATCCTGCAAAAACGGGATTGAATGATTTGGAATGATTTTAAGTGAGTGCGGGCCGCGTGAGCGAACACTACACTTGCATAGGTCATGACGGGGCGTATGCAAGTTTTGTAAAGTGTCACCTTATTTCTAAGGGACATTTTACTTCGCCTGCATATCATCGGGTAGAGACGTCCTAGTATGAAGGCGGCACGGTCGCGTACCGTCTTTATATGGGGGCGGAATGTCATCCTTCTGTCGAGGGTGTCGCCTAAATATTTGACCTTCGGAGCCCACGGAATGGGCTGGTCGTACATCGTGATTGGGCGAATGGCGGAGGCGGACGTGTCGACGCGCCTAGACGGGAGAGGGATGCTAAACGTGGTGTTCGGAGGGCGACCCCTTTTGAAGAGCACCGCTGTGCTTTTCGTGGGGTTAATGTCCATGCGTCATTTCCGGAACCACTGTCCCATGGTGGTAGCTGCGGTCTGAAGTCGCCGATGAAGCAACGCCTTCTTCCTACACGAGTAGTAGATGGCCGTGTCATCGGCGAAGAGCGCCAGATGGGTCTCCGGAGACCGGGGTATATCATTGATATACCAACTGAACAGTAACGGGGAGAGGGCGGAGCCTTGCGGGACTCCGGCTGTGACGTGACGGGGGCGGGATCGCGTTCCCTCTACTCGATATCGGAACGAACGGTTCGACAAGTAGTCTCGTATGATGAGCACGAGTCTGTCTGGCACTCCCATGTTATACAGTTTGTATATCAAACCGTTGTGCCAAACTTTGTCGAACACCTTCGCTATATCTAAGAAGAGGGCTCCTGTCGGGATGGGTTTCCGCCTATTCAGCCCTAGTAAGAGGTGCTCCGTGAGGCGGTGCACTTGATGGACGCACGAGTGTCTGGCGCAGAAACCAAACTGCTCGTCTATAAGAATTTTATTCGCGGTAACGAAGTCCCAGAGGCGTTTACGAAGGAGCCGGTCGTACAGTTTGCCTATCGCCGGGAGGAGACTGATGGGGCGGTAACTCGCGGTTTCGTTCTTCGGTTTGCCCGGCTTGTGTATGCCGATAACGTCAGAAATTATTTGTGTTGTACCATTATAGTATAGCTGATAATTCAGAGGTGGAGAACTTTACATTGTTGATGGGTTGCAATCAATGTGAAGAATTTTAGGGCCCTACCGCACTAAACGACTCCCCTGCACTCTTACACCCGACGTCCAATCCCCGTCCGGGGTCAGAGTAGGGGGGTTCCCGCGATCAACACTATAACCAGACACGCGGCGCCCCCCGAAAACACCCGACCGACGGGTCGTCAAGGCGATACTCTGCCGACCAGGTTGCTCTTCCACAGCATGTTCGGCGACGACGATAATGCGAACCGCGTCGCAGGCCGCAGCCGCCGACGCGTCGTCCCGTCCTCCTGGTGCCTGCGCACTAGAGTGACGGTAGCGTGTGGTGCAGCCTTAACCCCCTCAAGCTGCCCCGTGACCGTCACCGGGAGGAGACTGCCTCCTCACAGTGGCCGGAGCTGCACAAATGCCCTTCTCCGACCCCGTATCGGGAGCTGCGGCACGGAGCTGAGAGGAAAGAAGAGTTCTCCCTTTCTCGTTCCACCGCCTCCTGCGAGTTCACTATCGAGCATAGCCTACCAGGACGCGGCGCTGCTCTGCAAAGCTGGCAGTATGCGATCGTGTGCTTCGCCGTGTCCTCGTTGGCCACTGCAGTGGTGGGACTACAGCGTCAGCTCCCTCCAGGCGATGAGGAGCAGGTAGCGGCCGAAACAGTCGTGTCCCGTGAGCACCTGCGTCGCCCGGAAGGTGAACCGTCCTCGGTCGCGATTCATCTAGTCCGAGACGATCGGACGGATCGCCTCGACGGTCCGTCGCCCATAGGCGGGGTCCGCCAGGCGGCGAGACCACGCCTCAAGCACGAGATTGGAGCTTCCGCGCCCGAATTTCCGCCGCACCGGGACGCGGCTCCCCCTGGAGCGGAGATCGCATCGCCACGCGTAATCCGCAGCAGACGCCTCCGCCTACAGATCCCAGGGAGGCGTCTCAGCGAGCACGCCTGCCTCTAACGAGACGGTGCGGTATCCGCGAACCGCCCTGACCGCAATCGCGCGCTGCGGATGTCGCAACACCGCAACATTGTCCCGGGCCAGGGCGTGGCACCACACGGGAGCCTCGTACAGTGCCATCGACCGCACCGCCCCCGTGTAGAGGCGGCGCACCACCATGTCGGGGTCCCCGACGTTCGGCAACAGCCGACTCAGCGAGCCGGCGGCCGCCATCAGTCCGGGACCTAATCTTTCAAAGTGAGCGCGGAAGCTCAACGACCGTTCAGTACGAGACTGAGGTACCTCAAAAATTTGTATTATGAGAAGCAAAATATAATGCGTCAAGTGGAATTTGTAATAATAAAAAGATCAATAGGAAACAGTACAGTTCTATGACATTAACTAAGCTCATTATGCAGCGGGCAGGAGAAATTTTCCCCGAATTTTTGGTCTCCATAAGCTACAGTGACCACCAGGTGGACTGTGGGCTCATTTGCTTACTATTAAAAATAAAACTACAAAAACTAATGTGTAATGATTTTCTTAGCTTTCATTCATAATATAGGCTGTTGGTAACCTCGAGACAATTCTGTTTGGTAAAGCATTCCAATTGAAATTACCAGAAGTAGTACTATCGATGGGAATATCATTGATTGCTGCTGGCATGGTCCACAGGATTTGTTTCACCACATGGTAAATATATTATCGAGGGGTGAAAGGCTGGCTTGGGTTAAGCGAGCGACATTTTTGCAACATTACAGGAGAGCCATTTAGTTCAAAATTTTAAAAATAAAATTAAAAAAAAACTTCTATTTGAATGGAGTAAACTTAATGAAAGTTCAATTAAAAACATCGAACTGTTGATGTTAATACCAAATAAAATGCACCTTTAATTACAAAGATAAATGTCACATATTAAGCGAAATGTCGCTTAAGCCAACTAGCCTTTCACCCCTCGATTTTTAACTAAACAAAATGTATTATGTTTTTATTAAAAAGTAGGTCACGCATTCATTCCGGGCCTCTTTATCATACCAGTTCTCGCATTTATTCCTCTCGTACTTTCATTCAGCCAATTTGTGACGAGTCGGGTTGAAGTCTCAAATGTTTTGTATTATCAATTGTCCAACTTTAAATTAGAACACATGACTCCTTTACGGCAAGATTCTAGTACCTATTAGTTTGGGCTTACTAATAATCCACATTAATCTATAATTTTTTGATGGCTCTAAATGGGCCAACAAACTCGTAGCCCAAGTCATTTGTGGTCTTCGGATTCTATAGATCTGCTACACCATGCCCTACATGAAGTCACAGTAAATTATGTACCAGCTGTTCCAGTCTGACCTATCGCACTTGACTGTTTTGCGACAAGTCTATTTGCGGTTGGAGTTTATGACTTCGTTAAAGTTTTACTTGTTTTTGTATTTAATATGTATATTACATTTGTTTATTTTTATTAACATGCTAGGATTATTCATTTTTGTTTATTACCTGTTTATTGTTTAATGCATAAAAATATTATAATATTTCAAATTTTGCATGTTAGTTCATGAGTTATTCAAACGCACGTTGTTTATCCTATTAAATTTAAACACAGTAGTTGATACCACTACGAGGACAAAGACACGTGACCAGGATTCAACTAGTGTTAGTATGTAAAACTATCTATGTGTATTATTAAGAACTTTACAATAATAGTATTTTGTTGTTTTAGCCCCATTTTTTGCGTGATAACCATTTACTACATGAATAAGTTATCGCAAAAAAAGTATGCGGTAGTTGCGCCTCAACCAGCAGCAGTGAAAAGCCGTCGACACAAATAAAATAATATTACATTACATTACATCTTACGAAGCAATAAATGTTTTTATAAACCAAATGACTTTTTGTTCGGAAGGAAGAGGAAATATAAAATAAAACCAAGGATTAAAGAAACAATTGGATTTGCAATTATCACTTTTTATTGAAATAATAAAAAGCTATTATTCAGTAAATTGTGACGAGGTTGCCCACAGATTTTAACAGTATTCTCTAAGTGAACTTTAAGCATCTATTAAACTTTATTCTGTTACTGTAGACGGACAGAGAAGCTCGCAGTTCAACCGGTATAAGTAATTACTGTAGTATATACACATCATTAAAACGAATTCCGTCCATCACTCATAACAAGACATGAGTCAGTCTTAATTGCATTGTGTAAGAGACTGTTTGTTCCACTCTTCAACCCAGAAAGTATGACTGTATAAGGACCGAAACAGGCAGGCTGGTTACAATTGCCCATACGGTACCTAGGACATCTTTTGAGTCCGCACGGGTAGGTACCCCACCTATTTCTGCCGTAAGCAGTTATGCATTTCGATTTGAAGGACAGCTGTTGTACTGTTAAAACTGAGACCTTACGACTCATATTTCGAGGTGGGTGGCGGCAGTTACGTTGTAGATGTCTGGGCTCCGGTTACCGCTTAACATCAGATGGGCTGTGAGCTCGTCCAACCATCTAAGCTATATAAAAAAAACATTTAATAAAGTATTTACTTAGAAAAGTAGCTATTCGTAGTAGACGTTGGCGTGAGGTCGGCCTGTGGTTGCAATGTTGACTGCGGTAACTCCTTTACTTCTTCCGGGTTGTCTTGGGCGGGATCGGATGCTTGGGCGATAATGCAGGGGAGTCGTTTAAGTTATGACCGCTACTATCTTTGCAGTTACTCATACACCACACATCACCATTAGGACATTCGTATTTTTAGATACGAATGCTCTAGGCGTGTTACACATTAATTCAAAATTCAAATAAATATACAAAAAGGTTATAATAAAACAAAAATGTATTGAAAAATCTTTATGGGTTAGCATACAGAAATCCTAACAAATTTGAAAACATACTTTTCTCTTATCATTTAAACTGAATAAATAAAATTAAGAGTAAGCAGTTTATTAGGAAATAAAAATCAAATAAATAATCCTTAATTCTGGTTACTAATTTCTAAAGTAACTAATTATTGCTAATGCTGTGGCTACAGATAAATTTCGTGTTAACATTCGTGTTAGATTAGGGCTTCCATTGTGAGAGTGCAAATTTCTAGTTAAAGTTTCAACAAAACCGCATTGTCTTTAATTTAATTATTATTTCACAGACGAGTTCCTGGCCCTCTCAAAATACTCTACCCACAAAGTGACATTAAGCCGAAATCTAAATGTCGTCGTTAGGCTATCTGGATAGTTTATACAATGTGAGCATTGTATTTATTACATATTTGTAGAATTTAAAAAAGGCGTTCATTTATGTTTTACGCTATCGCCTGTCGTATAATGAACCAAGTTCAATTTTTGTACAATTGTAGGCACTGATGCAAAATAGTTTCTGTCATAATCGACCGCATACTCATTTGAAAAATTTACAAAAATATCATTTAAATATAAATATGAGTGCTGAAATATGTTAATGGTCATAAAAGAACAATCAAATTATAGGATTGAAATTTAAACCTAAGTTTTGGGCCATGACCAACACAGCATTATTCATGATAAAACTAAATATTCTTAGAATTTCGATAATGTAGCCACAACATAGAAAATAATGAATAATTCTTTAAACTATGTTATAACTTTCATACAACCTATATTATAATTTTGTTCTGTGTTTTTTGAACAAAAATATGCTGACACATTGTATATGACACCATTTAAAGTATTTCAGATCACTCCATTTCAGACAACCTCAGTAGATTATTACCTAACATTTTTTGCACAACTCCTAGACTATTACCATGTCTCACTTGACCTTTTAGATGTTTATATTGCACATTTATAAATCTAATCTAAATTTTGCACTTCTTTTACATTTTACTAACTATTAAACATCTATTACATACTTTTTATCTTATGATAAATTCAGGAATCAGTTTATGTGATGGTAATTAATCAAAGACAAAAAAAACATGCACTATTAACATAATGATTTTATGTATTGTAGTAAGAATATATTATCATACATTACAAAAAAACAACCAAAACAATCTATATTTTATGTATAATAGATCAAGATGTTAATATTATTTATAAAACATAATATTATGTTGAAATTGAGTTTGTAACATCTTGAAGTGACTGAAGACTTAGAACTGCATTAATAAATTATTGTTTTATGAATCAGTTCTTTAGATAGGTACTTAGTTTACAAACGAGTCATTAAACAAAGCAAAAAAATATGATATGCTTGTTGTTATTTTTAAAATATAAAATATTTAAGAAATATTATCATAACCATTATAATCTCTAGATAGAATAGACATAAACTTTGTAAAAATTAACAAAAACCACCTGATAGGTGACAAATTAGTCATGAGGATTGGAAAACTAGTTTGATATAAAACTATAATTTTGGCACTTCATTCAATTAAAGTTTTGAACAACTACCGTTGTTGATAAATATCAGGCAGTGCTTTTATTATTAGCATTTGATACATTTTGATATGTTGCTATGATAATACATAGTGTAGGTGATTTCTCAAATACAATCTGATAATGTGTCAAATAATAATCCAGATTTTCTTATCAGATCATACTTATTTACGTATTTCACACCTTAATTTCTGAAAAGAAAATATTACAAAGTAAAATATTTGCTTAGTGATTAAAAATAATTTACTATATTCCTGTTAGGATTAAATATATAAAGGAAATTTAATTTGAGTTGGACCTCTATTTAGAAATATCACAGTGTAATTGCGATATGTATAAGGCACTACTTCATATCTTTATTATACAAATTTGATTGTTAAACGTTGGTGAAATGAGTGAAAGTTTAACATAAAAGATGAGTATAACAATATGCAGCCACAAATTTGAATTGCAACTTTCTAATAAGCATTAACTGTTTTTGACCAAATGATTTGCTTGCTTCTTATTGTTGTTAGTAGCATTTTGAATAATGTTACTATGTTCTTAAATGTAATACAAGTAACAATTTAATGGTTAAATAATTAACACAGGTTTCCAACTATAATTATTAGTATTACACAGGTATTGCAAAGACTAAGGCATGCCACATTAATCATATGCAATCATGCAATAGATAAAGAATGGTTTCATTATATTTTTTTTACCCAATTGCTTGGTTATTTGTTACGAATATACATGCTGTTGTTTCTTACATAGGGATTCTGGAGTATGCGGGGTGTTGTTTCCATTACTCTTAAGAGTAGTTCATCCAAATAGTTTTCCAAGTCTTTCGTTTTCTTTTTTTCCAATTCTGCATCTTTTTGCAAATTGTAAATCATGACAATTAAATCTTCTNTTCATTATTATTTTTTTACCCAATTGCTTGGTTATTTGTTACGAATATACATGCTGTTGTTTCTTACATAGGGATTCTGGAGTATGCGGGGTGTTGTTTCCATTACTCTTAAGAGTAGTTCATCCAAATAGTTTTCCAAGTCTTTCGTTTTCTTTTTTTCCAATTCTGCATCTTTTTGCAAATTGTAAATCATGACAATTAAATCTTCTCGTGTCTTTCCTTCAAACTGTTGCAATACTGTTTTGGGAATGTTATGATACAGAGGATTTACATAGTCTTCCTCAACAATATTTTCTTCACCAACTATAATCCTTTCTTCAAGTAATTTTTTTGGTTTACTGCTACCAACAAACTTCTTAAAGAATTTAGGACTAGGCTTTTCTTTTAAGGAACTTGGACTGTCTAATTTCTTGTTTCTTTCAAGGCTTGAAGATTTCTCTCTATCTATAGCCAATTGACTCATAGATTTTCTCGGAAGCAACTTTTGAGACCATTCATCATTTGAATCCATAACTGGAGTAGGTAATTGTGGTGGAGTGAATGTGTCCAAGCTCAATCGAACAGGTTTTTGTGGAATACTTTTTTCTGGAACAGCTAAGGTGCTACTTGTAGATCTTCTTAAAAATTCTCCTCCACCTAAATTTTCTAAAGATGCATTTACAGGTGATGGTGTGTATTTGAAACTTCTGGGTGCATAGCTTGCTTGGACATTAAGTGAACTGCCTGAACTTTTGTGTGACAAATCATCAAAAGCGAATTCATCATCATCTTCACTTATGACACCAGGGTCAGCTTCTCCTGATAATCTTTTAGGTGTTGAGTGGATTGGAGAAGGTAAGGTAGCACCTTTTAGATTTCCAACACTGCCACTTATCGATGATGAGTCATTTTTCTTATCTTTTTTATTGTTTAAATTCATTTTAGAGCTAATATTTTTGGCAAATTTTTTTAAACTTTTACGTTTTTCAATACTGCCAATGCTCATGAGGCTTCCACCAACATTTTGTGCCAGGCTCGATAAGGAGGATCGGTGCTTGTCTTTCTTGCTGAGATCCGTGAGGCTGCCTTCCTTCACTGTGAAGGCTATTTTGACTTCTATTTCACCTCTGTCCTTGTCATTTTCTTTGCCTGATTTACCCTGCAGCTTGTACCAGCGGTTTCTTGGCCGCTCGTATACATCGAGGTCTTTTAACGGAATCGATACTTGACCCAATAAATGATCTTTAACAAAATCTTCGTCATAAACTTTAAGTACAACTTCAGCGGTGTTTCCTTGAGTAGGTATTGGTAGTTCGCATTCTTCTAACCATTCCACATTCTGTGTGGCTTTATGTTTAACGGAAGTTTGGAATTTTTCTTTACCGAGGGCAATGGTAACAAAACAGTTATTTGTACCGTTTTTCCCTTTGATTAGTAGTCCACGAGCTTTTTGTACGGTCACTTGAACGTGAGTAGGGTCCCACATCTTGAGATCAACTTTTGTTTATCAACACTTTCCCTATTCAATAATCATNAACCATTCCACATTCTGTGTGGCTTTATGTTTAACGGAAGTTTGGAATTTTTCTTTACCGAGGGCAATGGTAACAAAACAGTTATTTGTACCGTTTTTCCCTTTGATTAGTAGTCCACGAGCTTTTTGTACGGTCACTTGAACGTGAGTAGGGTCCCACATCTTGAGATCAACTTTTGTTTATCAACACTTTCCCTATTCAATAATCATGAAATTACTGCAAAACTAATAAAATAACGCAACAACAAATTGACCCTACCTGTCGCACAGATTAGTTATGACCCGTCGGCAGTGTGACCAGATTGCATTTGATAAATCTACTGCTTGTGGTGATTAAAAGTTACTGATTTCTACCAAAAGAGAACAAGAAAATACTAAAATTCTATTTATTTTTTTGCTGTCGTGTTAAAACATAAAAACATGAATGTTTCGTTGATTAAATGATAAAATAATAAAAATAACAAAATAAACCACCATTAATTAAAGAAATCAATGTTTTTCTTAAGTCTAAATAAAAATATAATTAAAAAATAAAAATAATAAAATGAAACTTCAAGTTAAAATTCTTTGTTTTTATGTTGGGTAACATTTTCATAAAGTTGTTTTGAGTCCATTTACTTGATAATACTTCTGTCAGAATCAAATCTACAACTTCCACCTTCCAACTGTCGTAGACCCTCTTTTCCATGCATTATTACAGCAACGTTCTTATTATTAAATAGATTTCGATCTTGATCCTATTCATATTGTAAATTATTCTTTCCACTTTAGCGTTTGACAAAGGTAGTATCGTCATTTGCTTCACAAATCGGTACAAATTGCCATATTTGATTTGCTATTTGCATCAAAGATTTGGCTGCCTTCACTCCGAAATTTATCCACCTTATAAATTTCAGATGTCAAACTAGAAGTTGACAATAAATTAGACATGGAAACATTTAATTATAATTCCATATATTCATTGTCAACAATTTGCATGTTACAACTACAAGGATAATAATATCGTCATGAATAGGACATCGCGATTTCCTCGTGTATATTTATGTTACATTTTAAAGTGGATTATAAAAATTATCAGTAAAGGAATTCCCACTAGTCTATCACACTCCGCTCACGGCACAAATGGTAACGAAAAGAATGAAAATTAAATAGCTCCAATCCACTCGATAAAAGGGGGAATACTCCCAATTTATCCGATACGCCAAAAACGTATTAGAGTAGTGAAAAGCGTGAATTCTACTAAAATGTACCAAAGAATTTTTACATACTAAATTCTGCTGCCAGTGCCTCAAAATCTACCAAAAAAGTAGAAATCTACTAAATCTGGTCATGCTGCCCGTCGGTTCATCGGTTCCGTCAGTTTTTTTTATAGCCTGGTATCTAAATTTTTAGACCAAGTCTTGAGTATTTTTATTCGGTTTATTATAATTTCCCCACTGTATTTTGGCTCACTGAGTTTGGCTCCCCTTTTTTTTATTTTCGGATCTTTTTTATTTTTAATTATTTGTTCGTCGTTTGTTCGTTAATGTTCGAATGTAAAAATGGTTTGTTAGTCTTTTATTCATTTATAATTAATTAAACAAATAATAATATATTTAATTAAATAAAACCCTTTAGTTGGCTCTCTTTACTAGATATCTTTATTTTTATCGCTCAGATTAATTAATTTTGATCAATTATCGTTTGTTCGACGACTATTGGTGATTGTTCGATCATAAAAACAATTAAATTCCTAATTATTAATTATTTTATATCTAATAAGCAAACCATCACCTCACGCCTACATTGCGCATACGCCGGTTTTGTCAGTCAAGTATTAGTGTTCTGTGGTCAGCTGGCAATGGCCGTATTTACTAGCGTTTTGTTAACGAGTGCGTTTACACTGTCTAATTATTTCATAGGTAGATCAAAAAAATATTGAAAACTTCAACAATACCTCAACAAAAAAATGTCAGTGAAGACGGCCAATTAGTCGTTAAAGTACGATTAGCGCGGTTTTAATTATTCAAATAAAAAAAATCCGATAATCAAAAAAGGGGAAGAGGATATTTATATACAGAAGGATCTTACTTAAATGGGAAATGATTGCAATGGCCCTGTAATTGCCACAATTTTTCGTCAACCCTTTTTTGTAAAAGCGAATTAAATATTTTTTTGTCCATTCTGTTGGTTAATTTTCCAGTTTTCCGGACGATTAGGTACATATTTCAGATACCTTATCCGATAATTTTCGGCGTATGTTTTTCCACTGCTCTGCATAAATACCGTTCTTTTATTGTCCGTTACTTTGATTAATACGAGTTAAGAATTATGCTATGGTTGTGTTTATTTTAAATAAATCAATGGACTCCTCGAATGGTGGCCACGGATGGGTACAAGGAGCGTGGGGCGTCCTCCAACCAGGTGGACTGACGACTTAGTGCGCACGGCGGGAAGTCGTTGGATGCGGAAGGTGGAGGACCGCATTATGTGGAAGGCATTGGGGAAGGCCTATGTCCAGCAGTGGGCAGATAAAAGCTGATGATGATGATGATGAATGTACTCCTATGAGCTGCACAAAGCTGAGCCTCCTTTCGCATCAAGTAGAAATCAGCAGTTTTTCCTGGAACAATTAACATTTTTTTTTTGGAATGGATTTTGGGACACTGATCATTTTGCTGTTTTCTTGATACAGTACAATCCACAATATTTCCGAACAAAAGTACCTAATTTAGATTTGCATTCGAAAATATTGTAAATAATGTGATATGGTGCGTAATTTGACAGTTTTAAAATAATAATATATTGTAAATTGTTTCGAACAACTCTATATGTAAGTATTGAGTAAGATATTAGCAAGATGCATAAAGACCAAAAATTATTTATATTTAAAACATTTAATATTCAAAACCACGTCAGTGAAGTCGTTGTAACCTAAAGGAGAAGACGTCTGGTGCATTCGTGTTGAAGCGATGCACAGGTGTTGCAATTCCAGGCGGGTATCAATTTTTCTAATGAAATACGTATTCAACAAATGTTCACGATTGACATCCACGGTGAAGGAATAACATCGTGTAATAAAAAACAACCCGCAACATTATAATCGCGAGTCCGCGCGTGTAGGTACCACCACCCCGCCTCTTTCTGCCGTGAAGCAGTAATGCGTTTCGGTTTGAAGGAGTTACGTTGTAGATGTTTATAGGATCTAGTAACCACTTAACACCAGGTGGGCTGTGAGCTAGTCCACCAATCTAAGCAATAGAAAAAACCGTCAAGGAGAGAAAATAACAAACAAAAAGTATAACATAATCTCTTGATATTTTTGTTTAGCTCCCTAATTTAGGCATTCCGTTGTCGACGAAACAAACTACGACACTTATCATTCCATTCATTAATTCGTTCCCAAGAGTATTAATAAGTTTTAGATTAATTCTTATAGCTTAATCTTTTTAGAAATACTAATAGTACATAGAGTAGTTTCATTATACTATTGTTGGACATTTAATTTTTAAAGGTTTTGTTGCTTATTTATCATTTAAAATTTTTTATCTGAGTGCGTTTTAAGCTATTGCTCAATTTTATAAATTTTTACCATTTTTCCAAATAAATTATTTTGTACAGAAAGTAATCTTTTTCTTTGTACATATTTATGTAATTTTTTATTGCTAAACACATGAGCGGATGTACCGTATAGTATTGAGCGGACACATACCTAATTATGAATTCTTCAAAACACACGGAAACATAAAAATTAATAATAATAAAAAGGGTATTTTTCATTATTTTTCATGCTAACTTTGGTTTTTAAAAAAATAGCACACATAAATACAATATTTACAAAACATTTTTCACTGTTTTATTCTTGCATGAACCGATTGAACTGGAAGACCGAGATTCGGGATCAAATTAATTACTCACATATTGCCACTGAAAATACTAAGCACATATTATATTAAATATTATAATATTAATAATGAGGACTCCATTGAGCGGTTGGTGGTGCAAGGGAAAGTCGAGGGCAAAAGATCTCGCGGACGATCTCCAACACGATGGACCGACCTCATAAAATCTGTGACTCACTCCAACATAAATGTTTGCTCTCACTCTGCGAAACATCGTGCCACATGGCGTCGCATCGCGAGAGCATCGGTGTCGCAGGATCCGACTGATGCATGACCACGACCACTCTGTCAAGAGTGTACGAATAGGAAGAAGAATTATATTAAAATGATTTGATCTCGAAGGAGTATTTGCTTTTAAAAAAAAGAATGAGTTTACCTAACATCGCCGTTTTAATCAACGTTTTTATGCTAACAATAAATGCTTGTCAACAACCCTTTTTACGACACAAATACTTATTATTGGAATGCCTCAAAATATTCTAGCAAAGGCCCATAACTCTTATTTATGTGTGTAACTCTAAACGATTATGAAGTATATAGTAATATGTTACCGTGATCTGCCTCGCGAATGGCGTCTTTTCTTTTACTGTGATGATAACATAAACGTCTATAGATTTTTATGGCTTAGGTGGATGAACGAGCTCACAGCCCACCTGGTGTTAAATGATTACTGGAGCCCATAGACATCTATAATGTAAATGCTGCCACCTAACTAGAGATATGAGTTCTAAGGTCTCAGTTTTTATAGTACAAGCGCAACCCCACCCTTCGAACTGAAACGCATTACTACTTCACGGCAGGAAAAAGCAGGTTGGTGGTACCTACCCGTGTGGAACACACAAGAAGTCCTAGCACGAGTAAAAAATTTCTGGTTAGATCCGCTAAACAAAAAAAAAACAATTGATTAACAGCATACGTTATGGTCCGTCCATCGTATAAAATTGTCTACAAAGATGTAACTAACATAATAGGTCATTAGTTTATGGTAGTTATAAAACATTTAATGTTTGGGCCGACATTCAGGGGAACATAACTGTTTTATTAGTTTTAATGTTGTTAAGCAGTTTCCATTTAGGCTGAGATAAGCTGAAATAATTCTACTTGATAACAACGTTTGTAACTTTATTTTATTGCTATTCATGGTCAGATGAGTTAGGTACATTAGAACTGTAATGCCGCCATCTTAGGAAAATGTAAAGCCAATTTCGCAGACAGTATGTTTCCAATAGTTCCAATTGTTGGAATTCTGTCTTATGCTTCAAAACGGACCCACGGCGCAGAAATACTTAGGATAATTACTTAATCGTGCGACCTCAAAATAATAGTTTTTTTTTTAATATTGTAAAATTTAATAATATGTATTCTACTTATATTTTTTA